CTCAAGCTGGGAAGACCCTGCGCCCTAACCCCGTGGTTAGCACTGATCACCTCACTCTCCGTGCTAGCCGAAAGAGGGGAATGAGAACTCTGATATTGCATGAGGCAATCGCCAGAGACGTGCTGAACCGTGGCTTCACATCAGGCCGAGACAGATTGGAGCCTTGGGCGGTGCAGTTGACAAATTGTCAAGACGACAATCTGGTGACGTGTCTGTGCTAGATCTGATAGACTGGAGAAATTGAAACTAAGTCGCGTGCGTGGGAAGTCCTCTGAGGTGACTGGATTTTGGCATCGCCCCATCAACGACCACGACAAGACCCCTCGGGATCTGCGGAAGCCCAGCAGCTACCGGGACTGTCTGGCCTTGCATAGCATCTGCGGCGGCTTCACCCATTTCCTGGCCCAGCTCGAGAAGGTCATCCCGGAGGCCGACTTCAAGAAGGAAGAGGAATCCCTGAAGCAGCTCTTTATGAGTGGCGCCCTCGACCCGGAGATCCAAAGTGCCTTGGAGAATTCCGTTCCCCCCGGCGACCTGAAGTCCATCGGGCATCTGAGGCCGGGGGTGTTTTTCTGCAGTTTTACAAAGGGTTCGTCAGGGTTCTTGGGAGCTTCTTGACTTACGAGATTTCAGGGTTTTAGATTTAGGGTTTTTTGGGGTTGAAAGTTTAGGGTTTTGGGTTTTAAGGTTTTTGTTCGATTGGAGCTGTTTGTTTTCCGTCGGTCGTATCATTGAGCTGCCAGGGAAATTTGCAACGACGTGCAGCAGCGGTGTGCTCTGCAGGCCGATGCTCGGAACGAAGAGCTGGCTCGAAAGCTGTCCGAGGCGACATTTGCTCAGCTGAAAGCTCAAATCGAGAGTGATTTCGAGACTCTGAAGCAGCGGGTGCCGGACTCGCACACGATGGCCGTGCAAGCGGCCATGGATGTCAAGTACATCAAGGATCGACAACAGATACTTATCACGCCCTTGTAGAAGTTTGTTGCATGTTCCTGGACTCGACACATGCGGCAGTTGGTTCTTCCAAGGACTGGCAACGACTGGGTGGCAAAGTGGCTATCCGAGAACTGCCACATGATTTTTCCCAGCGAGGATCAATTGGGCCGCTCCGTGGCACAGTTGTCCCAGTTCCTGGCACCCCTGAGAGATGGGAATGGGCGAGTGTTCCAGCCTTAAGACTTAAAGCCAGTCGCCGCCGCGTTTTTCACAGCGTGTTTCAGGTTTTACATGACATGATTCAGTTCACTCTCGAGGCTGGTCCTTTGCACCCTCGATTGCACGGTGTACCCGAGCAATGCAAAGATGCTGAGCACCCTTCTAGACATGTTGTGCACCGTGCTCAACATGTCACCCGACAACGTGTGTCATCTTCAGTGCCCCCAGCACCAGGCCCAGACCACCGTGAATGCAGCCCTGAAGCACCGTCGTTTCCTGAAAGACGGACTCATCAATCGTTCGTTGGATTTGAGTCGGGGTGTCACCCTGCTGTTCAACAAAGATGCGAGTGGACGTGCGTCAGACGAAAGGCCCGGAACACAGAGCTGTTATGCTGTCTTCTCTCAGCATTGCCGAGCATCTTGGCTTCATGGGCACGATGCGATGATCGTGTGTTGCGTGGAGCTGTCTTGTGACTTTCTTGGGATCCCAACAAAAACTGCAAGGTTTCCCAGAGTGCCTGGCAGAACTCGGAGCCGTTGAACTACCAGACCATTGGTGACCTGGCCCTGGCGAAGGTTTCCGAAATGAAAGGATACGATGCTGATAACCGTCCATCTGCGGCGGCGAGGGTGGAGCAGCAGCTCGATTGCATCAGAGGGCCCCAGTCAAGCAGACGTTTTGATTTTCACTGGCTCCCTTCACCTATCAATGCTGAGGAAGGGCACCGAGTGCCATCGGCAGATCTTGGCATCCTATTTGCAAGGTCTGGAGTTGGCAGCCAACGACCACGTCGCGGTGTTCGACCTCTTGCAGAATCGGTGACTCAAAATAACCTCAAATATGCACGCAAGACAAGAATGCATCCGGATTGCCGGCCCAATCCGAGGTACTGCGAATTCGGCCTTGCGGTCCTGGGCAACACATTGTCTCAGGCATGGCCGGTGAAGTACTTTGGCATTCTTCAGCAGCATCAGAAAGATGTGCAGCTTGAGATGCAGCGGATTGCGTACGAATATTGGGATGGCAGCAAACTTTCTCCTCCGAAGCGGCGACCGACAAACGAGGCTCAGGAAGCAGCCCCTCCCAGTCTCAAGATCTTGAGCTGGGTAGGAGGGCGACCAAGGTGGCCAGTGAGCATGTTTGAGAAGTTTGTGGTAGGAAGCAAGGAGTTCGATGACATGGCAGCCATCAAGAAAGACGTCGACCGAATGTACCCAGCTCCTGCGGAGTCAGAAGCTTCCTCAACAGCCGCCAATCAGGACACGAGGGTTGCAGCTTTCGGGTTTAGGTTAGTGTTGAAGGCCTTGCGTTTTTGTAGCCTGCAGTCGGGGTTTAGGGTTTAGGGTTTAGGGGTTTAGGATTTCGAGGTTTAGGATTTCGCATTTGGTGCTCCGTGAGGACCGAACTCAAGGCCTGCCCGACTTCTCCGTCGACGGTGGCCGGTCGCCATTGGATCTTAGTCGGTTCCTGGACCTCGCGAAAATCCCCAAGGAGGACTTCCAGGAAGAGAGGCTCGGAAAGCTGAAGTTTCACGAAGATAATCATGGCTGCTAGAAAACATGCAATTCTTTGAAGAGGCTTGCCTCGAGCGTGGGCTTTGCGGGCAAGCCCTCCATCTGTGTCAACCAGCACTATGATATTTTCCTGGGCAACGAGTCGAACTCTCCTCTCACCCTGGGGCCAACCGAACTTTTCGGGTTCAACACAGGCACCTACTGTGAGAAGCTGATCGAAGGCACGGAGACATGTATTAGACGTATTGGGCCCAAAATAATTTGTAAAACTCCGGAATCACTTTGATTGCGGCAGGCCTCGGGGATTCGGAGTGCAATGGCTTGGTGTGGCGATTGGCCAACGACCTGACCCACGTCGCCGTGGACAAGAAGTTGATCCCGCTGTGTTCCTTCCTGCACGAGTGCGTGAACAACCGAGGCTTGGCAGAGGTGGACTTGCAAGACCACGAGCTGGCCCCGAAAATGCACCCGGCCGTGGCTCGGACATTCATGAGATGTAACATAGTTTCGAATGTTCGTTTCAAAAACTTGGCATTCGACAATAGTACAATAAATGATGCAATGAAGGCACATAATATGTTTCCTTCCTTTTCGTTTGAGGTGGAGCGTCAAGATCCTCTTCCTGTCGTGCTTCGCTACGACGTCCGCCCTGTGAGAACTCTGAAAACCAACGTGTATCGGCCGGCAAAGTTGTCTGAGAATGCTGACGAGAGTGCGGTGACAGCTGGCGAGTTGGTTTGCAAGCCCTCCCAACTCGGGGTCATCTTCCACGGCAAGTACAACAGCCTGCTGAAGTCGAATGATAAAGCAGCTGTGGTCTGGGAGGTGCTGGGCCTGTCATTCTCAATGCTCGGATTGAATTGTTCCTCTGAGTTGAGAGTTTTGTTGGGTTGAACGTACAAGCTGAGGTGATGCTGCAGGGAGCGAGGCTGGTTCCTGTGAAGCCGAAGGTGTACTTGACATGTTCTCTGGTCCTCGAGCCACGGCATTGGTACAAGCTTTGAACATCCGACGAAGTCCAATCCTGCTAGGAAGTTGGCAGGGCAAGCCCATGTGGGCTCGTGGGCTCATGATTTTCCAAATTTGAGCTCATGTCGCTGGCAGTTCGGATTTTCTCCTGAAGTCCTGAGATGGCAGACTCACTGAGAATGAGACGTAATCGCTTTAAGTTCTGTTGCATTTAGAATGTGCCGGCAGAGCTGCGTACATAAGCATTGGAGCACATTGCATTGCTAGCAAGGCCTTGTGGGACGGCCGGGCAAAGGCTCTCAAGGTATTGGTGCCTGCCCTGCTGTGTAGCTTCGTATCAGTAGCCATGGGAGTACTTCCTCCTGTGACCCAATTGAGTGATGATTCTGCCAACGAGGCTCAGGACTGGGTCACAGCATCATTGGTGCAAAATGCAATGATTCATGCCTCAGCGAAGGAGTCCCGACCGAAGCCCAAGCAGTCCGCCAAGAAGAAGGCGACCCCGAAATCCGGGCCCAAGGCTGGCCCGAAGAAAGTCAACAAGAAGCCAGCTGCCGTTCACGAGATCGCGACCCCGGCTGGTGAAGAGCCCACGGACAATGATGTTGAGGAGCAGGATGCTCTTGGTGAATTCGAGACTCCGCCGACTAAGAAGCAAAAGGTCGAGAAGAAGCCTGCTGCAGGACTCAATCAGTAAATTACAATTGCGTGCATGGTCTGTGTTTGGGTCTCTGTGCGGGAGGGTGTCCTGCCTTTGTCTGCAGGGCCGGAGGTGCGGCGAGTGTGCAACCCCACGTACAAGGAAGATGCCAATAGATGGGCCATCAAGATCGCTGGCAAGGAAGCCGTGTCCGTCTCTACCCCATTTGTTTCGTCCGTTCAAGCCTCATGCTGTGTTCCATTCAAACCTCATATGCGAAAAAATAAGGTGGGTGCAAAAAGCTGGCCGAAAGACAAGCTCAAGGAGATCATCGATGTATGCCGTGAGAAGTTGATCCAAGGCGACCCGATTCCAAGCGTGCGTGAAACGGCTGTGGCCCGACTGCACACAAGCCCAAGCCCGAGCCGCTAAATTTTAAAGTCGCAAGCCCTTCAGACCCTCAAGCCTAAACGCTAAACCCTGGCAGGGTTTAACTGATTTGTTTGGTGTATCAGGATGTTTATGGCTGATATGGACTTTAACTCAACGTCGCTTTTTTCTGGATTTCCTTTGTGGACTGTGGGGGCAATATGCTGCCTGATTGACCTGAAAGAAACCCTGCCATGCCTCACCGGTATAATCATTATTAACCCTAAACCCTCAGCCCCGAACTTGATTCCCAGTCGTAGCTAAGTGGGTGTGAAAACTTAATTCCCATAAATGAGGCGGAAATGAAGCTCCAGCTCGTGAACCAGATGGCCAAATCGGATGCTGTTCCAGGCAACTCGTCATATCATTGCAAAACCGAAGAATCAGACTGCCTATCAGTCTTCTCGAAATAAGGAGAGGACGTCAAAGATGCATCGAAGGAAGCCCAGCAGGCACGAGATGATGCAGATGCAGTCGAGGATCACAGGGCTGGGGCTAAGGGTTTTGTAGGGTTTGGGCCTCAAAGTTTTGGATTTCGGAGGCTTTGGGTTTAGCTGCTTCGGGCTTGGCGCTTCGGGCTTAAGGTTTAATTCCCGGGGCTCTAATCAAAATAACGTTTACTAGGGTTTAGTTTGGGGCTTCTGGGATTTAAAAGACGTTGGTGCAAAGCGTAAATTTCGGGCTTAGGGCTTGTCGCCAGGAGGGTGGCGAAGAAGAAGAGGAGGAAAAGGACGAAGAGACCGAGCCGTAGCCCCCGTAGTTTAACTGCTGGCAAAGCCTCGGCATGTGGACTCAACACTTGCAAAGCTTAACTTAGAGACTTAACTTCCGGTTGCAAGCCTTCTGCAAACAAAGTTTGCTTCCGCTGCTCTAGCACTTGTGCAAGTCCTCTCGAAGGTGACGAACCTCAGAGCCTGTGCCCAGCTCGGAGAAGAAAGATCCGGACACTATCGCTGACAGGAGTGATAACCCACTGTATGTGTGTATATTAGATATTATACGTATATAGATATTATATATATATATATATAAATATATATAATATAAATACATATATGTATATTATATATATTCTGTTATTATATGAACACATTATTCGACAACTACTCTTATTACTAACTTAACTATTTACAAGTATAATAACCGAATCAAGCTTCCGTCGGCCCTACACCATAAAGAGACCCTAAATCCTTAAATGTCCCCAACCCTAATAACTTCGGCTCAAGTTATCGGCTCAAGTTATCGGCTCAAGCTATCGGCTCAAGCTTTCTGTTACAGACACGGCCGTCTTCAGTCCACAGTCGCTACAAATCGGGTAGCCCACACTTAAAATTTGCCGACCCCTAAACATTTCGGCTCAAAGGATCGGCTCAACGCAAGCTTTATGCTACCTCTGAAACCGGGTAGCCCGAATCACTTCGGCGAGCCCGATTCAAAAGAAACTCTTTTAAAATAGCCATTTACTAAGTCCCCCGACCCTCCAAGTACAGGGAGCTACAAGGTATTCCTGCTTCCATATGAAACCAGGTTGAACGTGATAACCAAGGAAGATTCCGTCCTCTCCTTTCGGGGCAAACTTTGAAGCGTCAGTAACATTTTGCTTCGGGTTGTTCCAAAACAGCACCTTCGCTTCAAAAGGGATCAATCTTCCGACAAAGTCTTCCCCAAACCGTTCGGTCCATGGAATCATGCCGGTATCAACCCTCTTAGAGAGATTTAGTGCCATTGCATGGTGCTGCGCAGCAAGCGGCCACAGTTTGTCAGGAAGACCTGATTGTAGAAGGTTAGACCGCGTCCCTTCCAGGATAGTCCTGATTTCTCGTTCCACAACAGCTTTGCTTTCGTCCACATATGGACGGGAAGTGTTGTGCCTCACACCGTACCTTGCTATCGCGCCTTC